ATGTGGCGCTGCCTCTGGTCTACAGTACATGCTGATGTGGCGCTGCCTCTGGTCTATGAGACACTGCTACTAGTCTACATTGCTGATGTGGCGCGTGCCACAGTTCTTCATTGATGATGTGGCGTATGCCACCTGTCTGGGCTACTGATGTGGCATTGCCCATGTTGTCTACATGAGGTGGCTGGTTGCTAGGAGGAGGAAGATCGGGATCCGTGGAGGAGGGAGGCCGGATGCTCACCTGAGGTTGACGTCGTTGCTGAAATCTGCTGTGTCTTCATGGTCTTCATGTGATAAGAGTGCCACGTGGGACTATTGTGTGTGATCAGGATTACTATACTTGTTATCATCTACTGGTTGTTGACGTGGAGGGGAAGAAGCCCGGAGAAGGAGAGGGGCTCGCCGGGACTACTCTTGTGTGACCTTTTATCATCTCTTCCTCCTCTGTCTGATCCCCCTCCACTCTCTTCGTCTAATGGTAATAAGACATTGTTTGAGATATCACTTCACGATTTGGAGGCTTTGTTGCAGGTACTGAGACTACTGATGTTTGACGACTTCTGAGTATCCACCAGACTGGGTTCATTACAATTTGGTATCGGAGCAAACTTCTTTCATCGCAATCTGATGTCTGCTGTCAGGTGCTACGTGGCACCCAGGTAAGTGGGAGGTGCCGCATGTGCAAAACGAAACGCGTTTATTAACGCGCACGGTAAATACCGCAAGTCTAGACATTGTTGTATTGCACGTGTGCGCAGCTGTCCCTTGAAGATGATGACGTGGCTGCATTGAAGACTTACCTGCGAAGAGTTTCGTTGGCAACAGGCTGACGTGGCGCTGGTCAAGAAAACTGGTGTGGCATGATATGTGGTTGGGCATGGTCTGACGTGGCACATACCTGTGACACCATTGCCTGCTGTTGCTGCATCTGACGTGGCATACCAATGTTGAGTGTGTGGGCAGACCTGCACTGCTGACGTGGCATCTCTCCTTGCAGATCTTTTTGGTCCTTGACGCTGACGTGGCAGAACTGCTGTGTTGACATGCCAGGGGTGATATGTGGCATGCAAAGACTGTGCACTTGTTGTTGAAGGTTGCATTGCTGCAGATGATATAGAAGAAGCTAACCATTGATTGTATGGTTGTGTTGGCTTTCATACTTACGTGTGGTTGTTCTGCGGTTGTTGTGTGTACTTACAAGTGTGCTGTTGTCTTGATCACACTGGTCGTGGCTGCGGTATCTGTACATTGTTGTAGGACGTCATCAGATAGACAACAGACAACAAAGTTAGAATAAAGAAATTGATTAAGAGTTTATTTTTTTATTGTTCTTGCTGTTGAAGTTGCGTGTACCGTGGAATTTATTTTTGTCTTTCTATTTTATTTATTGTGCGGTAGAAACACGCCAGGAAAATGAACTCTCTCTGCGTGCTTCCGTCCTGACACGGTTCATTCCTCTTCTGTTCTTCCCTATCCCTCTCATAGTCTATGCTAACGAAGAAGGGGGGGATCTCAAGACGCAGGGTCAAATTGAAACAAGAAGACAAACTTTGACTGGGTTACTCCGCCAATTGCTTGGTGAGATACACGCTGCCAGTCCGGACGCTGAACGACACGTTCACGGACAGCTCAATCTGTTTGATGCAGAAAAAGAGTTGCAGGCCGCTGAAACTGTCGTTGAGATGATGGAAACCGGCAAAAGAGTGGAGGAGCTCGTTAAGAAAGGACGAATAGCCCTTGACCGGTATGTCGCCGAGGGATTTGACAAACCGGAACAGGAAAGGAAGAAGAGAGTAGAAGAGGAGAAAGAAAAGAAAGTAGAGCCAAAGCTGTTTGTGGAAGTTATGGAGGAGAATGCCAGACAATTGGAAACTACCTTAAGGGAAGAGAAAAGAAAAATTGAAGAGTTTCGGAGAAAGAAAGAAGAGAGAGAACAGCAAGAGAAAATATTAGAAGAAATGAGGGAACGATTTCATTTTGAGGAAGTCGAGACTGATCTTTCGTATGTGTTGCAGTC